AACATGAACTAACCAACATAAACATAAACACTTTGTCAAGACTTCATCGTAAATGTTTTGTCAAACTGCATCGAAACTAAACATAAACACTTTGTCAAGATTTCATCATAAATGCTTTGTTATGACTTCATCGTAAATGTTTTGTCATGACTTCATCGTAAATGCTTTGTTATGACTTCATCGAAACTAAACATAAACACTTTGTCAAGATTTCATCATAAATGCTTTGTTATGACTTCATCGTAAATGCTTTGTTATGACTTCATCGTAAATGTTTTGTCATGACTTCTTCGTAAATGCTTTGTTATGACTTCTTCGTAAACACTTTGTCAAAACTTTATCGTAAATGTTTTGTCAAAACTTCATCGTATATGCTTTGTCAAGACTTCATCGTAAACACTTTGTCAAAACTTCATCGTAAATGTTTTGTCATGATTTCATCATAAATGCTTTGTTATGACTTCATCGTAAATGTTTTGTCATGACTTCTTCGTAAATGTTTTGTCAAACTGCATCGTAAATGTTTTGTCATGACTTCATCGTAAACACTTTGTCAAAACTTCGTCGTAAATGTTTTGTCAAGACTTCTTCGTATATGTTTTGTCAAACTGCATCGTAAATGTTTTGTCATGACTTCATCGTAAATGTTTTGTCAAGACTTCTTCGTAAATGTTTTGTCAAACTGCATCGAAACTAAACATAAACACTTTGTCAAGACTTCATCGTAAACACTTTGTCAAAACTTCATCGTAAATGTTTTGTCATGATTTCATCATAAATGCTTTGTTATGACTTCATCGTAAATGTTTTGTCATGACTTCTTCGTAAATGTTTTGTCAAACTGCATCGTAAATGTTTTGTCATGACTTCATCGTAAACACTTTGTCAAAACTTCGTCGTAAATGTTTTGTCAAGACTTCTTCGTATATGTTTTGTCAAACTGCATCGTAAATGTTTTGTCATGACTTCATCGTAAATGTTTTGTCAAGACTTCTTCGTAAATGTTTTGTCAAACTGCATCGAAACTAAACATAAACACTTTGTCAAGACTTCATCGTAAACACTTTGTCAAGATTTCATCATAAATGCTTTGTTATGACTTTGTCAAGACTTCTTCGTATATGTTTTGTCAAGACTTCTTCGTATATGTTTTGTCAAGACTTCATCGTATATGCTTTGTCAAGACTTCATCGTATATGTTTTGTCATGACTTCTTCGTATATGTTTTGTCAAACATAAACGTAAACTCTATGTTAAACATGAACTAACCAACGTAAACACTTTGTCAATACTTCATCGCAAACACTTTGTCAAGACTAAACATAAAGCAAACAAGCAAACAAAACACAGCGAAAGGATTTTGGTCAAGAGTTCTCATGATGAAGAGATAGAATATGTTTCAAGAGGAAATGAAATCATAAATGAAAGAATAATGTATTGTCATCTATGAGTCAAGTATTGCTGAATGTTTCCCTTCATTTCTTTATAAATTATTCTTTCATTTATGATTTCATTAGATATACACATTCTTCCTTCATTTCATTCTATAACACAAACGATGACACTTATAAAGTAAGATATGAAGGAGGCGTTGAAGATGTTATACCATCTAAGAACTTGAGAGAGTCAAAGCCAACACATCTGGGACCATTAGAGCGGGAGTACTGGAAAGACAAAAATATGCCAGAAAGAATAAGAAAATTCTTATGAACTAAATATATTTTATGTCTAAAGTTAATTAGTTAATAATGTAGCGGATGAACTGCAGAAATATATTTTATCGTTAATGATTTCGTAAATGTTTTCAGTGTCACCACGTCACCATGTCACCAGGTTAATTAACTTCTTTTAAAAATGATGACAACATGACATTTAGACAACTAGCCCGGAAATAAATTTTATCGTTTATGTTTACGTTAATGTTTTCATTAATGATTTCTTAAATGTTTTCAGTGTCACCACGTCACCATGTCACCAGGTTAATTAACTTCTTTTAAAAATGATGACAACATGACATTTAGACAACAAGCCCGGAAATTTGATGCAGTCCAAAAATAAAGTTAGTTTTAAAATTATTTTTATTTTTTTATTCCTATATAAATGACAGCAACAAACAACAACAGCAACTTTATCATTTCTGATGAAAAAGTTATTGATTCATTAGCTGAGGAATTAGTTAAGGCAGAAACTAAAACCCTCAACGAAAGAATTGGTGAAAACAAGATTGATTTACATAACTACCTCAAACATGATGGAGGAAGAGGAAGGAAAACTGGTACGGCTTTATTAGTAAATAAAATTTCGAATTTAACGATTATAGATATTGATATCAATAAATCGTACAATGATGAACTTAAAGAAACGGTTAGAAAAGACATTTTATCAAAACTTTCGGATAAAGATGTTATCGTTAAAACCGCTTCAGGAGGTCTTCACATTTATTGCAACACTAATTTCTTCTATTCAGTTTCGAACAGAATGATTAAATGTTATTCCTGCAATGATTATGATATCGATATCATGACTTCTATGGATGATTCAAAGCGTTCTTTAGTAGTTATGGCTGATTCAAGAGTTCGCAAGAATGCAACAGAACCAATCAATACATACTCATTCATTCGTGGAAGTTATGATTCAACATTAACTAGAACCGTAAACGATATATTAAATGATTTGAATATTAAGGTAAGAGTTGAACAGAAGAACGAAGAAATAAAGAGTATAATGAATGAAAACAAAGATGTAAACATTGACGATAAACTTGCCCAGAGCATAGTCGATGGTATTAGTGATTTTGAAGTACATAATGACGGTGGAAACATGAATTTAGAAAAAGAAATAACATTATTCACACTGTTTCAAGCTATTAATTCGTTACCTAATCATTTAATTAATGAAGCATACGATAACGTTTATAACTTCTGCAGTTTAACAGAAAATGCTAAAAGTAATTTTGAAAAAGCACGTAGTAGATATGCACATTTAATGACTTCTCCATTTGTTTTAGTGAAGATTCTAAAACTATATCAAAAAGAATATTATGATGAATACGTTTTACCTTTATTACGTAAGCCAAAAATAACATTTGATATAAAACTTGATGACTCGTTTTTGATAACAGATATTAGACGCAAGGCTGAAAATCATCAGTATAAAAACAGTTCTGAAGTAATTGAGGATTTATCACGTGTAATCCGTTTTGTAGATTGTGGAAACAAATATTTCATTCAAAAGGACTATAATATTCATGATAAAATGAATCAAATATCATTCGTTCTTCAATCAGCCATGAAAGAGTCACTCAAAATGATTAAATTATTTAAAGAAGAAGGTAAAACCATAACAGCATGGACGTACTACTAAAATCAATTATCCTCATTAACCGTTAAGGTGTTTGCTTTAAATCTGATTCTCCAGATGTTTTCTCAACGTTTCAGGGTTATAAATACAACGTTCTCGAAAACCAGATTACTCAAAAATTGAGATGTTTATGAATTTCATTAAAGAAGCCATATGTGATAATAACGATGAAGTGTATAAATACCTTCTCCTGTATTGCATCAATGATTCAACATCCTAGAATCAAGAATGAAACAGCATTATTTTGAAAGGACTTCAGGGAACAGGTAAAACAGATTTACAGACATTATTTCTGAACTTCTCGCTGATTCATGTAAAAACATTACCGAAATAGGTGAGCTAACGGGTAATTTCAATTCAGTAGTTGAGAATAAAATGTTTCTTGTACTTAATGAACTCAGAATGTTGGTGAAGATAGACTCGCAAACTTCAACGCTTTGAAATCAATTATAACGGATAATGAGATTAGAATTAATGAAAAGAATCAACCCAGAAGAACAGCACAGAACGTTGCAAACTTCATTTTCGTAACTAATAACGTTTACCCTGTCAAAATTGAAGTTGGAGACAGAAGATACGTAGTTTTAAGGGTTAATGGTAAATTCAAGGGTCAATTTGATTACTTCAAGAATTTGATGAATTCATGCACAAAGGAATTTTATGATAATTTACTAACATATTTTATCAATTACGACCTTTCATCATTTAATGTACGAATCATACCGATGACTGAAGCCAAACAAGATTTAATTGAATTATCAACAAATCCTTTAGATGGATAAATACACATTAATGAATTGTGTGCAGGTATGACATGTAAAAATGCTCTATTCTGCAAACCATCAGACATGAAAGACAAAAACTTTCAAATGAGCATTAAAGATAAACGTGAAAGAAAACAGAGAAGAATAGACGGTAAACAAACATGGTGTTATGTTTTGAAAGAAGAAATGAAAGGATTATATAAACAGGTTGAACCAAACGAAAATGACGATTCATTTACTGACGATGAAATACCTGTAAATGAAGCTTTATAAAGTATGATTCGAATTTAGTTTTGCATTCAACCCAGGCTGTTGTCAAAATGTCATGCTGTCATCATTTTTAAAAGAAGTTAATTAACCAGGTGACACATGGTGACGTGGTGACACTTTCAGTTCTTCAAAAATAATTCATAAATGCTGCATTCTCTCCTAAAAATATTTTTGCATTCAACCCATGCTGTTGTCTAAATGTCATGTTGTCATCATTTTTAAAAGAAGTTAATTAACCAGGTGACACATGGTGACGTGGTGACACCTTCAGTTCTTCAAAAATAATTAGTTACGGTCAGTCAGTTAGTTAGGACCTTCGGTCTTGGCACTTTGCGCCGTCAGTAAAATTTACACCAAAAATATATTTTAGTTGAGAAGGTTAGATCTAACCCGATATCTACCCTCATTTCTACCCCTTGAACTTTTTATAACATTCGGTCATTAATTCATCAATTTCATTTAAATCACGATTTAAAAACTCAATGACTTCATCTTTTGCTTGAAGTTTCTTTTCCATCTCTCCACGTTCTGCTTTATATAGTTCATCTAACATCATGAAAATATAACAAGCATAACGAGGTGAAGCCCACATTGCTAAAGCATTTACTAAAAGTCTAGGAGCCAAATTCTTGCGATTTTCATACGGAATCTCTTCCCCGGTTTTCCGAGGGAAGCAATCATATGCGGAAATTCTTCTAAAAGTTCTTTTGTCTGTTGGTTTTCAAACCAATGATATGCTTGCTTTGTAGAACGAAGAGCATTCATTATACTTTGCATTTGGTACATGTCATCTTTGACTGAACGAATGAGACGAAGTTGTGTATTATATTGTATGTATTCGTATTCTTCATTAATGGCTTCATGAACGATAGCAATTGTTGTGTTCTCTGATGTTGACATTACTGTTCTTACATACAAAATAAAAAAAAATAAATAAAAAAAATCTAACTTTATTTTTTCTAACTAATGAAATTCATTATTTTTGTGCTGAATTCAGCAAAAATATATTTTAGGGTAAGATCTAACCCGATATCTAACCTCTTTCTACCCTCATGAATTTTCATGAATTTTCATGAATTTTATATATTAATGTTTTCGTTAAGCCACTTTGTGCCGTCAGTCAGTCAGTCAGTCTAGGAAAGACTTTAGAAATTGGAAAATAAGTCCTGGGAAGAGTATTATAAGGCGTTTTGTGAAGAATATAGCAACAGTCCGAATTCCGGCGGGTTGCTTTTTATACAAAATTCATGAGGGTAGAAATCGGGTTAGATCTAACCATCTACCCTAAACATTATTTTTGCTGAATTCAATAAAAATAATGAGTTCATTTACTCACAATATTTTTGTACAAAACGACCCCAAACTTTTAACTTCTTCTTTTCTGCAGCTTCTAATGCTATCTTAGCGAGTTCATATTCTCTAAATTCTCTCTTTAAATCTTCTTGTTCCCATTGGTCTAGTTCGTATGGAGAATCTCTATAACCATAACATATCTCACATTCATGTTCTAATTGTTTTTCACACATTTTTCTAACTTCTTCTTCAAACAAATGTTTTGCATTCTCTACTGTATCTTCAAGTTCTTCTTCATCTAATTTCTCATGAACTTTCTTGTCTATGGAGTCCATAATATCTTTGACATAAAATGCATACTTAGTTAGTATACATATCAAGTGTACGGAGGCACTGCGAGCCTCCTTACACCTGATATGTGAATTTGACACTTTACAAAACCGTTAACGTATATTTTACAACACAAACACAAACACCAACTTAACCTTAAATGTTTACAAAGCCGCCAACCACTTCACCTCACTTGTTGCATGCTAAGTTCGGTCAACGATAGAAATTGAGTGGAAATTAATCGTCGAGGAAGTACGATTATGTAAAGTAAAAAAATGTTGTGGGATTTTTAATATTATATATTATTTTATAATAAAAATTTTTTGAGTCATTTTAAGAAGCACATATAATTTTTTGAATTTAAAAATTAAAGTAGTGTCAAACGAATTTATCACTTAATTTAATACTCAGATTTCTTAAAATTAATGAAAAAAAGGTTTTCTGAGAACTTTTGAGAATGGTTTTCAAATTCCATTATTGAAAATATATAGGTATTGTATGAAATTCAAACTCTATATTTATTAAAATTCTAAATTTTTAATAAAATAACTTTTTAGAGGAATATGATTTTGAATGGTTGATTAATAAGTATAAAAATGTCTACGATTTTAAGGAGGGAATTGTTCCTTATGAGGTATACATCATAACTATATACCTCATAAGGAACAATTCCCTCTTGAGAGCTGGGAAACTTTCTCTGAATAACTTATCATTTGGAGAAAGTTTTCCAGCTATCTATTAGAAACTAAAGGCTATGAGGCACTAATATATAATCAGTGCCTCATAGCCTTTAGTTTCTTATTAAAAACGAGAAAACTTGTTCGAAATGATAAACAATTTCGAACAAGTTTTCTCGTTTTAAGGAGGGAATTGTTCCTTATGAGGTATACATCATAACTATATACCTCATAAGGAACAATTCCCTCTTGATATCCTGGATATTTTTGAATATATTTTTTTAATTAAAGTTCTCAAAAGTATTATCAAAAGTGATTTTTTAAAATATCTCCAATTAATTAACTAATTAAAAGTATTATATTTTTAAAATTAAATAGTTTTTCAATTTTTTTGAAGGAATTGAGATACTTCCCACGACAATAAAATTGAGAGGTTTACATTATGACTGATCTTAGCATGCAACACACTAACGTTTTCACAAACGACTTCACTAATGAAAAAATAAACGTTCTCACTAACGTTCTCACTAATGTTCTCACTTACAAAAGTATTGCAGCGCTTCCCATTGCTGTGCTTCACACAATAGTTCATATTCTTCAGTATCGCTGCTGTCACTCCAATCGTCAGAGTCAAAGTCACTGTCAAAATAAATGTTAGTAAGTTTTGACAAAGCTAATGAAACACGCTTACCGTTTGTATCATATGCTTGTATATATCTCCCATTATGTTTGTAGTCATAAACGCTCAAACTAACTTTACCCTTTCTCCCTCGTATCTGATAGAATGTATTTTCACGAGGAACGAAGAACAAATTCTTGAACTCATGACCGTTGTAGTTTGTTATCTCAATAGTTTTCGTCATTTATTTAAAAAGAAAGAAAATCCATTACGTATAAGATTTCAAATCTCTGAACCAAGTGATGTTTTCATAAATGTTTTCAGTGTCACCACGTCACCATGTGTCACCTGGTTAATTAACTTCTTTTAAAAATGATGACAACATGACATTTTGACAACTAGCCCGGAAATATATTTTATCGTTTGTGTTTACGTTAATGTTAGTTAGTAAACATATCAAGGGTACGGAGGCATTGCGCGCCTCCTTACCCATTATATGTGAATTTGACACTTTACAAAACCGCTAACGTATATTTTACGACACAAACGACAACACTAACTTAACCTTAAATATTTACAAAGCCGCCAACCACTTCACCTCACTAACATTTTCGCTAACGACTTCACTAATGAAAAAATAAACGTTCTCATTTACAAAAGTATTGCAGCGCTTCCCATTGCTGTGCTTCACACAATAGTTCATATTCTTCAGTATCGCTGCTGTCACTCCAATCGTCAGAGTCAAAGTCACTGTCAAAATAAATGTTAGTAAGTTTTGACAAAGCTAATGAAACACGCTTACCGTTTGTATCATATGCTTGTATATATCTCCCATTATGTTTGTAGTCATAAACGCTCAAACTAACTTTACCCTTTCTCCCTCGTATCTGATAGAATGTATTTTCACGAGGAACGAAGAACAAATTCTTGAACTCATGACCGTTGTAGTTTGTTATCTCAATAGTTTTCGTCATTTATATAAAATTAAAATAAAAAATAAAATAAAAAATAAACTTAAAATTAATGATATCACCACCCTCACACGTATGAAAACATAGCACAAAAATAAATTTAGGTGAAGTGGTGAGATCTCACCTCTTTTTTCACCTGTTTTTTCACCCTGTTGAATTCATTGCTTTATAACTCTCTTCCTTGGTTTCTTTTTAGTTGCTTTCTTCACGTCTGTCTCCAACTTGACTGTCTTTCTTCTTCGGCCGTAATGATACCAGTTACTTCCACCAGTCAATGGGTCAAATGGTCGTTCATAAGGGTTTCCATACATTCCATAGGGACCATACGGAAGAACTACTGGTGGAGAAGAAACATTTTCTTTAGTTCCATCGACTCTATTTAAATGCATTGTTTCACCTTTCATCTGGTCATTAAAGTCTTTTGCGTGTTTTGCAAACTCATCGTCCTTTCCTAAAGCATTTTCTGACTCAGTCGCAACCAAATTGGATGCTTTATTTATGAGCCCTATTTTATTTAATCTTAACTTCTTTGCAACCCAGCCTCCAATCTTTCCTTTATTTGCATCTAATGTCTTGAAACCCTTCCTCCACTCATTTTATTTACTGCGTCATAAGCTCCAAGTGCTTTTGCTCCAAATGCTAATGCTTTTGTTCCCATTGCGCCTAAAGCTGCCCAAGCTACCATTTACCCATATTAAAATCATCTCTCTTCAATATTATCTCATAAAAGTTCTCGTTACTGGAGAAAGTCAATGAAACATAAGCGTTCTCACGGGCTTCGCCCTCACCGCTTTGCGGTCTATCTAACTTCTTTCTTATCTCATCTATACGCTTCAAAATGTCTGAACAATTGCTAACATCTTCTACAACAGTTATTTCATCATGAATGACCTTCAAGAACAAGCTCATTTAATATGCTATTAAAATCATTCAATAATGAGTCCATCCTTTCCATCTTTAGGTAGCACAACATCTTTCATTGAAGAAGGTTCGACAAGTCTTATGTTAAACTTACTGACAAAGTTTGTTATACTATAATGCTTCGGCGGCGAATACATGTAGTTTGAAAGACATAATATAGATTCTTCAGCAAATTCACTTATACTGGATTTTATAACAATGTTCTCACGAGACCAAATACCACCAATTGACAATCTTGTAAGCAATCCTGCTGAACCTTCTACTGTAAACGTCGATGGTAACATTCCACGAAGGTCATCTATTGACATCGTTGAGTCACTGTATTTAAATATTTTCTTAAAGCAATCGTCATTATCTAACCATGCAATAGCTTTGAAGTTTTCATTCGAATATACATCTGCTTCATTAAATGTAAAACCTGACTTCTTTGCAGAGACGACTTTAAAATCTATTGAGTTTGTTTCAAAATTATATGCTATGGTAACTTCTGAAGGTAATGGATGTCCTTCTGCTATAAGTTGTTCTTCAATACCGTTTGAAGCTTTGTGTTAAAAACTTTCATGTCATCTCCTGTGTCTAGTTCACATACACAGCAACAGGGAAACTATCTTGCTTCTTTGTTTCATCATTATATCTCAAAACATTAAAGTTCTTCAATAATATTGTTCTTCCTGCTGGAATACTTCTAACTGTCTTATTTCAATAGCTTTCTCACCTCCTACATACTCTACCCAGTGTCTTGGATATTCATAAGTATACTGACTTTCTTGAATTTTGGTTGGTTTCATCATAACGTGTTCATAGTATATCTTTATACTCTTGTCAGTTAGACTCGGTGCTATGTTCTGAATATTTCTGACTTGCATTTTTAATGGAGATAAAATGAAGCATTTAATACACGACGTAGATGAAGACATGAATGAAACTACAGACAAACTTAACTCTTCTCTTATTCTTCCTTTCAGCAAAGATTATGAGTTCTGTTCAAATGGTGTTATTTCTATTGTGGAAAGATGGGTCAGGAAAGACATTTAACCTCATTCGTCATATACTCATAACAGAACGTTTAGGAAATGACTCATATTATGACCAAATCATTATATCAGCAACTTCAGACTCTATGGACTCAACAGCGAAAACATTTATGTCAAAAGTTCAAGCCTCTGTCGTTAAAGTTCCAGACAGTGAACTCATTGAATTTCTTCAACGGTACATTCGACGTAAGAGAAAATATTATGCCATCGTAGAGTTCATACAGTCAGGAATGCAAAAGACTTCTGAGGAGATGGAAAGAATTATTGACAAACACCACTTACGTCAATACTCAGGAGTTTACGATATGAAACAACTTACAAACTACATTCTATCAAAACTTTCAAAATACCCCTTCAAAAAATATCCTTCAAACACTCTGCTCGTTTGTGACGACTTCGCCGGAAAAGGTTTAGTGTCAAAACCAGACTCACCATTAGCTAACATCATTACTAAAGTCAGACATTACCACTTAACTGTAGTAATACTTATGCAAACATGGAGGTTTTTAGCTTTAAACATAAAACGTCTCATAACTGACTTCGTTATCTTTCAAGGTTTCTCACGCTATGATATTGAACTCATTTGGAAACAGTCAGGTATAACATTGCCTTTTGAAGAAATTTGGGAAGCATATAAGTCTCTCATCTCTCCTCGTTCATACCTTGAGATTCATATCATGACTAATACCATTAAAGTCAAAAATATTCCATGGGAACGACCAACATTGTTTTAAAGTTTAACCTTCAATTGACTGATGGTAAACAAATTCCATGCATCTCTGTCGCCATTTCTGTTAATATTTTTGCTGTCATTCATATCATCCACTTCCCCATCCGTTAGCTTTTGAGGATATGCGTTAGAATAGCTGTTCTTAAATGAAGGCTTTTCACCTTTGAGAGCATAAACTCTATAACTTTCTGCATACTTTATGTTTGAACCTCCTGAGCCATCATTGACATAAATTTTTATAGGCTTCCACCCATTGTTCATGTTCCTGCTTCTTCCCTTAGCTCTTTTGTTCAGTAGTTCTACATCTTTATACACAGCACCTGTCTCAGTGAATTCAACAATATTTTCATTCGTTAGCTTTACATTCAAACCCTTGTCGAGTATATTGTTCATTTCATACATATAAAAGGTTTTTATTCTATATGAAATGAGAAGCAAATCCATCTTAGCTGGTGCCGTTAATGTTCCAATTGAACCAACATCAAATGTTGACTCACGAACGACAAACAATATTGTCATAAAGAACTATAGTTCAGAGTGTTTGAAAGAAAAAGAACCAGAACTTAAGTCGGTGAATTTAAACACAGCTTCAAACGCTAACGCTACATCAGATGTTAAGTTAGAGTATCCACCACTGGACCAAATTCTTTCAAGAGAAGCCAACGACAACTCTTACACAAATGTTCAAACAAATCCTTCAGATAACGTAGACCATTACCTTCTTCAGTTATACCAAACAATTTTACTCAAAGACGATAAGAAGCTTTTGGTAAATCTTATAAGCAAGAACCAAATAATTCTAACAAAGGAGGACCTTGAAAATGTTATCTCACGAATAACAGGGAAACAATGTGTCATTGACTATCTCGACCCTGAAATCGAATGCTGTGGTCAAACGCCACCATTCATGAAAATAGGTAACATCCGCATCATTGAAACACCAGGAACTACAGGAGTTGAGTTTAAGTATAAATATTCGAACGAGTATACAAAACTTTCAACAGAATATAAACTTTGCTTGAAATATGTTTTAGTAAATTAAAGCAATTTGTAATATCTATCCAAAACTTCTTCAACAGTATCGAACTCATCTTCATAATGCAAACCTAATCTTATTGACTTGGTGCAGTTTTCACTAACACAATATTTTTCTGTTCTCTTGACTGACATAACTAATTCATTTGTTTCATCAAACAGCAACAACCAAAGTTCATGACCTAATACATAACATTCATACTTTATATTTTTAGCTCTGAGTTCTCTTGTAAGCTGTTGCATTTAATATTTTCTAAAAAGTCAACTTCAACAGTCATTCGCACTGGTGCCTTCAGTTCTACAGGCTCTCCTTGAAAGTCAACAAGTCTGAATTGCATGTCTTTCAAATTATGAGGACTAATGCGAACCCATTTACCTAAATGAGTTGCTATGACAGGAACGTTTGGAATGAACATTGAATTGACTGCATAACAGAAGGATTTATATTCTACTGAACCTTTACTATTAACTCCTGAAATACCTGTGACATTAGCTATTTTAGACTCAATGTATAAACAATTGCCATAACATACGTATGGAACAGATTTCATCTCAATCGTTTTGTCAACACTTTTCAAAGGAAATATCATATGGTATGCACCCAAAAGAAGTTGTACTCTATGACTCATTCTTGGTATCTTAAACTCCTTCGCATAACTGAACTTCAAAACTCCTGCAATAAGTTTAACATTCATTAAGTTTTCTTCGTTATCCTTGTTTATTGTAGTATTTATGAGAGCATTTAACACTCCAGCTAATGTTTCCATCTTATATTCTACATTATTGTGAAATCTTATTTCGTGCTTCTTTCCATCTATTTCAAACTCCATGAAATCTGTTTCATCTGTTATAACGAATGAAGCGATAGTATTGAAGTCAACCATTCTGAATGCAAGCGCCTCATTCTGTAGACCTAAGTTTGTTTGTAGCTTTACTGTCCCGTATTCGTTTGGGTCTGTACTTTGCAAATAGAACAACATTTTATTCTCATTAAAATATGAGTATAGCTGCATATGCGTATGAAGCTGACAGAGCTAAACGTTTATATTTTGGTCAATACTCTCTCACACTTACTGACAAATATATTGTTATCACTGATGGAAATACTGAGAAATACATAACATGGAAGGACTATGAAAAGTTTGACCCTATTTTAACTCCATGTACTATGCCGTTTATAAAGGACGGTGAAATTATTGAAAAAGATAATACAACCGTATATAGGTCTGTTTATGAAGCATTAGAATATATGTTGAATCATAACCCAAAAAGATTTGACCCAAGCACTACACCATGTGCAATGCCTTTTATTAAGGACGGTGAAATCGTAAGAGTTCCGGATTCAACGGTTTACACAGCTGTTCAAAACAGTTTACAAAACATTTTAGCGAATATCTTTAATTCAGAAACTACAGAAATAAAATTACCATATATAACAGATGCTAAAGAAATTAAATCAAAAACGACAACATTATTTACGTCACTTAATGATTTAATGACTTATATCATTAATATTCCTGCACCAACTACAGCATTTGATCCAAACTCGACGGTTTGCAGTGTACCTTTCATAAATGACAGTTCATTAATTACTTTAAGGGATTCGACAGTAAATGAATCATTAAAGGCGTCATTAATGAAAATCATTGATTTTAATTCATTCACGAATACATATAATTCATTCATTAATGTTTCATATGCTTCTAAAGAAGGTGAGCCAAAAACTATCGATAAAGCGGTGTATGAAATAAAAGCATCAACGACGAAATTGAATTCGTTAACTTTTGACGGTGATAGTTTCGTTAATGACATAACATCGGGGAAAACAATTTTAACGAAAGAATACTTAAAATCTCATGTTAGTGAGTTCGTTGAAATTGAAAAAGAAGGTGGAATTAAGTTCGATCCACTGAATTTCATTTTCAGCTTAGCGAATGCGGGTGTTAGTTTCGCTGAATGGACAACTATACAGAGTGAAATAAATGCAATATGGACGTTTTTGGGGTCAAAAGCGGGAATGGGTGAGCTTGTAAATGCTGCAAGAACATTAGGTGAAACAGGAAATTTTGTAGATGGTTTTAAAAGACTTGTTTCAAATGTTTTAACAAACACAAAGAAATTATTTAGATATACCATACATAACGGTCAGATTTTCGAACAGATAGCAACAAACCCTCCGGTTATGGCTGCGTTGATGATGGTTAGAGATATAAAACCATAACGACGGGAACGAAGAACATGAACAACAGGATACTGGTCGGGTTATTCGAGACATTAAAAACGTGTATCCTGAAGTTATTGATTTATTTAGAGGAGTTAATGATTCAATTTCAAAACATTCTATAACCCTCGATGAAGAGAATAAATTAACAGATTATATATTCGTCATTATTGCAGAATTAATGAAGAGAATAAATGAAAAAGGAATTGGTGATATCATTAATGTCAGCGATGTAATGATGAAAAGAAATTTTGACTCATTATTTACAAAACCGAAAACAGAATATAGTCTTTATGACGTAATTACCGAATTAATGAAAAAGATTAATGATAATAAGAGTTCTGGCGGAAGAGTTGAATTAGAAGTGAATGATGTTAATGAGAAATTAGCCGAAAAAGCAGACAAAAATGAGCTTTTAGCTCTGAGTGATAAAGTCAAGAACCACGTTCATTATATAACTTCAGACGAACAGATTATAACGGACTACCATGGATATTTAACACGAAGTGATGAAGCGAAGACAAAAAATGTTAATGAAAGAAGATATAAATACATTCGTGCTAAAGGTTATGACATAAGCTGTACTGTACAGTATGATGTAGCTAAAGCACCAGAAGCATTTGGTTATACCGGTGAAATTTATGCCTCTACTTTCAATGTTAACGGTGTATTAGTTGAACCAAGATTTACATTGAGAGTTAAGGCAAAAATAACGTTTGAAGATGCTATTAAAAGTAAAGCTGACAAAGTTGAACTCGAAGCAATGAACAAAGTTTTGAAATCTCATAAACACAACATCTCCGATATAAATGAACTTCAAGCTACATTAGACAGTAAAGCTGACAAGAACCATACAAACGAATCCTTCACTACTGTTAGAGCAGACGATGTAATATTGAACTATACTCTCGGTTCAAGTGCACCTTTAGAGAATCCAAGTACAAGCGTAAAAGATACACTAAACTCCTTAAATAACAAATGTATGAATATCGAAGGTCATGTCAGAAACTTTGAAACACATGAACTACCAGCAATGTTAGACAGTAAAGCAGATAAAGAACATACACATAACTTCTTCTCAACTGTTGCTATAGAAAATATTGAAGGAACGGTTGAGGGAACTGATGGGGATGCATTATATTATAAACCTCCTAACTTTCCACAAGGTTTAACATCGAATGAAAACATAACAACGAATAAAAAAATTAGATGTAAAAATGTTTATGTCATGAGCAGTGAAAATAATGTTAAATTCACTGCTCAAGATTTATATGATAAGAAAGCAGACAAAACAGAGCTTCAAACATTAAAGACTCAGATTCTTCAAACATTATATCCTATAGGCTCTATTTATACGTCAATGAATTCAACAAATCCGGCAAGTGTTTTAGGTTTTGGTGCATGGGAACAAATAGTCGACAGGTTTTTGTATTGTGCAAACTCTTCAAAGGAAACAGGTGGTTCAAAGAAAATTACTGAAGCAAACCTTCCACCGCACACACATACAGGAACTACAAACACAACAGGTAATCATTCACATTCAATAACAAAAAGAGGTTATACAAATCTTGCAGCAGGTTCGGATAGACAGGGAATGCATAGATATGATATTTCAAGTGACCCAGTAGATTCAAGCGCAGGTATTTTCTGTGGAACCACAGGAAATCATTCACACACTTTCACAACAAATCCAACAGGCTCGGGTGAAGATTATATGCCACCATTTATGACTATATTCGCATGGTATAGAGTTCAATGAACGCGCTTGAGCCTAGAATAAAATCTTTAACTTTACATAAATGAGCTTGAAAGAAGTATTCGAACAACATCCATGGAGGTCATTTAAGAAGTTCAATGAAGCTGCAAAGAGTTGGGGATTTACTAACAGAGCTGAAGTGAAAAGGTTCTTTGACAAAAATGTTGTACATCAAACAAAAATAAACCCTTACGACTACTTTTTACCAATTTACTCCAACGCTCCTGACGCATACCAATTTGACACTCTCATTCAAAGCAGAAAAGGAGGACATAAACCATTCCTCATCTTCATTAATGTTAACACTCGTAAAGCATATGCATATCCAATGAAAAATAAAGGAACTCGTGAAGTTTAAGAGTTTTACAAAAGTTTGTAGCAGAACATAGCCCAAGTACTTTAACATCAGACCAAGACAGTGCATACCTCAGCAATGAAATCACAGATTTTCTCATTAAGCATAACATAACTCACTACACTACTGAAGACCATAACCATAACATACTCGGCATCATAAACCGCTTCATAAGAACGCTCAGAGATTTAAACCAAGAGCGAGACTTTACCGAAGAAACAATGAAACATTTTCTCGAAGTATATAATTCCTCAACACATTCTACAACAGGACATACACCAAATTCAATGACACAACAACAAGAAGAAAAGTATATACAAAAGAAACGAAGCCAAACACAAAATATCAGAAATTCAACACAATTTACCCTCATTCCTGGTACAAAAGTTCGTGTAGTTCTTGACGACAAACCGTTGACAAAGAAACGTTTAAGGTTAAGTAGAAACTATTATATCGTAGACTCTACGCAAGGTAATGGATATCTTATAAAAGCTGCTGACGACTCTATTGCGTTTTACCCTCGACATAAATTAGTTGAAAGTAGTAATGGCAAACTTGCTGAAACCATTGACGAAGCAAAGCGAGGAGTGGTTATTGAAATACTTGGCTATAACATAAACGATGACACTTATAAAGTAAGATATGAAGGAGGCGTTGAAGATGTTATACCATCTAAGAACTTGAGAGAGTCAAAGTCAACACATCTGGGACCATTAGAGCGGGAGTACTGGAAAGACAAAAATAAGCCAGAAAGAATAAGAAAATTCTTCTAAACTTTTTCATTAGATGTAAATCAGACATGAATGAGAACAGTCATGATATCATTAATGGTACCATTTATTTTTGTCATAAATTTACACCAAAAATATATTTTAGGTGAAGAGGTGAGATCTCACCCGTTTTCTCACCTGTTTTCTCACCCTCGCCGCTTAGCGGCTCAGACCCTTTGGGTCTCGTGAATTTTCATGAATTTCCTTAAGATAGAAAAAATAAAGTTAGTTTTATTTTTATTTATTTTTTTTATTTTGTATGTAAAGATATGATTTCAACAATCGGCACAACAGCAATTCAAGCCGCGAACGGCAGGACTCTGTCCACAACAACAGCACCAAACTCATTAGTCATGAATCCTACGTCAATGTTAGTAGAAATGAAAAACTTCATTCCTTCTTCATTTACTTTCGAAACAAAAATCCAAAATAAGCAAGAACTGTTAACAAGTAATTTAGACTGTACCGCACAGGATGAAGAAAATGAAGAATATCTTTATGACATGCAGGACCTCATCGACCATTTACCTAAACTACCTGAAATTCAGCAACAAAAACTAACCATTCCCGAATTTGACGAAATTGAAGTCAAAGCAACTGACTCGGTAGAAATAAAGAAGTTCATACGAAAGGTAAACTATGAGTTTCTAGGATATCATTGCAACCATAAAGTTATGGACAAAGATTGCGACATGGTTTATAAAAATATTTCTGACCTTTACAAATCCGAAGAATTTAAGACATACGATAACTTTGTTTCATTAGTTGCAAAATGTGTATGGCAGATAAGAGATAAAGATAGAAGAGGTAAAGTATGGAATGAACAGATAAAACCAGCAGCTTTTGAGTTAAAGAAAACCATTGACGCCTTAGTTGTTCTAGCTGGTTTTATTTCAATGTATAACGCAAAAACGATGCCGCAATGTTCAAAATGTAAAGCAGCAATGAGGAAATATAACTACTCAGTCAAAGAGATAGAAAGAATGCGAAACGACTATGCAGACTTAAAGAAAGAAGCAGAAAAGCCAGCAGAAGATAAAATGGATATGTTGACATTTCTTAATAAAAACTATCCAACAGCAGAAGATTTCCTTCTGTCTGACGTCAAGAAGAAATATAAAGAGACTTTCGGCATGATTAAAACATTCGATGTACTAAAAGAAGAAATAGAAGCTACGAAATTGTTTAGGATTTCAAATATACATCGTACAATTCATGTAAAACGCTTGTGAAAAAAAAACAGGTGAGAAAACAGGTGAGATCTCACCTCTTCACCTAAACATTATTTTTGCTGAAAAATGACCAAATTTCATGAATTTTCATAAAAGATAAAAATAAAGTTAGTTTTATTTTTATTTATTTTTTTATCTTGTATGTAAAGACAGTAATGTCAAACATTGAGTTTGAAACAGTAAGAAAGATTGACAATGACACCAAAGTGGTTAGAATTGGTGATTTAAACGTAAGATACTGTAAGAAATACAACAAATATTCTTTGTCAGACATTATAACACCTTCTGGAAAGAAAACAAAGGACTGGGTTAGAATTGCTTCTACTCAGAAAATTTTGACAAGAAATCCTGAGCTCATGATATCGGTAAGATTCTATGGAACTACAGCATATCTCATTGACAAAAGTCTTATACCAATAATTCTTCTGTGGATTGACCCTGTTGTTGGATATAACTTCATAACTTATGGTTCATTCGACTCAGAACGTTGCAGTGAAGGCTTACTTTACATCGTTCAGAAACCGAAGGACTTCAATACAAAGAGATATAAGATAGGAAGAACATATAATATAACTCAAAGATATGACAGTACAGTCAATAGAGTCAAGGTTGTGTTCGTTAATGATATGAGAGCCGCAGAAACAGAACTACTCGAAAAG